ATGTTCTGGCTGCCGCTGCTTCTGCCCCATCCAGCTGGGGCTCCATGGGGACAGGGCTCCTGCTGGCACAGCTGCTGCCACCACTTCTGCCCTGGTTGGCTGGGGCTCCCTGGGGATGTGGCTCCCACCAGTCCAGCTGCTTCCCTGGCCAGCTGGGACTCCTTGGGGATGGGAGTCCCTCCTTGGCTGAGACCGGCCCTGCTGCTGCCGGCCCAAGCTGGGGTTCCTGACTGGCTCCCACTCCCAGCTGCCAGCGCTCTTTGGTCCAGCAACATCTGTGGTCCTGCCAAACCACAGATGTTGCCTGACTGGAGAGTCTCGGATTTAGGAGGTTCAGCTTGTGTTGGTTCAATGGCTCTCAGCATGCCATGTTGGCATGTAAATCTGTAATGGTTCTGGAATGCTGATGGATTTTGTTCTCATTGCAGATAAACGAGCATTTCCTTTTGGTTACGCTTATCAGAGAAGAGAGAAAAAAATGTTGGAGAGAGAGTCTTAACATCTTTGCATATGTCCATACACATGCAGTGAGCTGGGCAAAATTCTGCTTGCCTAGATTAACGATGTATTTTTTAAAAATAAGTATATAAAATATGCATCATAATGGTAAAAAGTGGAAGAATAAGTAGTGCCTGGAACTGTTTTCATGCACTTTTGAATGGTTGTGTGTATTAGAGCTAGAGTTATTCAGGAGCTCTCCACTCCACGAGTTTTTAATGGAAAATGTGAATTCTGGAAAAATCAATTTGGTGTATAGCTATAGTGAGGCAGCTACCTATGTCATGCCAAAAGTCCTTGACCATTGTTATATTAGACTTAACTCAACCAATCACCACCTTACTCTATGGCTAATTTGTATGTCACAGTTTAATTGGTTGTAAGAGGGAGCCTGCACAGATAGTGGATTACTTTATCCAACTGCCATACTGTTACAACAACTCAGGCTTTCAGCTACTAGTACAAGGTATGGGCCTCCAAGTGCCAGTGGAAGTAAGGATGTTAACTAACAACTAATTTACTAATCGAGTAGTTGATAGAATTTCCATCGACTACTCAACTAGTCAGTAGGCACTTACTCATTCCTCCTTCCCCAGGGGCTCTTGTACATTTCAAGGAGGAATGAGGAACTCGCATGCAGCCCAGAGCCACTCCACGAGGGTGCTTACGCTTTGAGGGTTCTTGTGCATTCCAAATGGAAGCACCAGCATGGAGCCCAGAGTTAGCGGGACTTCCCGCTAGCCCCGGGCTGCATGCAGCATGCCAGCTTTGAAATGTACAAGAGTCTCTCGCTGACCCCGGGCTCCATGCTATGCTGCTGCTTTGAAATGCCATATGGAGCTTGACATTCCCTGGAAACCAGGATCAGCTGGGGACTCTCCAGCTTATCCTGGGTTCCATGTGGCATTTCCGCGGAACCCAGGGTCAGCTGGGGAGTCCCCAGCTGATCCTTGGCTCCGCTTGGCATTTCAAAGTTGCAGCGCTACACGGAGCCAGGGATCAGCTGGGGACTCCCCAGCTGACTCCAGGTTCTGCGGAAGTACTGCAGGGAGCCCTGGGGTTAGCTGCAGAGTAGAGCAGAAGAATTACTACTTGTTTCTTGCTTACTGCACTCCTGCAAAAAAAATCCCAGAATGATGTTTGCTTTTTTTGCAACAGAGTGTTACAACTGCTGACTTATTTGGGTTATGGCTCATTATGACCCCAAGGACCCTTTCTACAGTACTCCTTCCTAGGGTATGTCTACACTGCCACCCTAGTTCGAACTAGGGGGCTAATGTAGTCATTCGAACTTGCAAATGAAGCCTGGGATTTAAATATCCCTGGCTTTATTTGCCTGTTCCTGGGCGCCGCCATTTTTAAATGCCCCGTAGTTCGAACTACGGGGCATTTAAAAATGGCGGCGCCCGGGAACAGGCAAATAAAGCCAGGGATATTTAAATCCCGGGCTTCATTTGCAAGTTCGAATGACTACATTAGCCCCCTAGTTCGAACTAGGGGGCTAATGTAGTCATTCGAACTTGCAAATGAAGCCTGGGATTTAAATATCCCTGGCTTTATTTGCCTGTTCCTGGGCGCCGCCATTTTTAAATGCCCCGTAGTTCGAACTACGGGGCATTTAAAAATGGCGGCGCCCGGGAACAGGCAAATAAAGCCAGGGATATTTAAATCCCGGGCTTCATTTGCAAGTTCGAATGACTACATTAGCCCCCTAGTTCGAACTAGGGTGACTAGTGTAGACATACCCCTACATAGTTATTTCCCATTTGTACGTATACAACCGACTGTTCTTCCTAAATATGCATTTCTTCTTATTGAATTTAATCCTATCTACCTTAGACCATTTCTCCAGTTTATCAAGATCATTTTGAATTTTAATTCTATTTTCCAAAG